GGTAGTCTGGTATATATAAGATGGTCACAACGTGACGAGATAATGTGTAGGTAATGAGTAATTGAATGTATGCGGACAAAATATTGTTGGCCAAGTGAGACGTGAGCATTTGTTATAGAGCGACTGTTGAAATTAAGTGTATCGTAAGTTGTATTCGGAAAGAATAAACCAGTTTTATTTAAGAAAGGACTTGTGTCGCTAAAGTTTCGTCGGAACGAAGTTACGGAAAATTAATTAACGACTGGAGGCGTTACAATATATAGTTAAAATTTGTGAAAGTTTAAAAGTGTGTATTGTTACGTCTCCGTTCGTTAGTTAATTTTCCGTAAATTCGTTCCGACGAAACTTTAGCGACACAAGTCCTTTCTTAAATAAACCTGGTTTATTCTTTCTGAAAACAACTTTGCAATACACTTCATTTCCACAGTCGCGCTATAACAAACGCTATAATTCACAACGTACTTCTCACGTGCTCAACTCAACAATACTATGTCCGCAGTTCAATTACACACATTGTTCCCGTCGCTTCTTGGCCGGTCTTATATATACAAGACTACCCCATATCTAGTAGTCTCTCGACGCTTCATGAACGTTCTAGAAGCGCGTGGCGTGTTACTAACGTCACGTGACCTCCGCTGTCGTAACAGTATTAATGCTGAAGTGAAATGACACTAATTCGCCAGTTTTTTCCCTTATCTATATTTATCTCTTTCTGTCTTAACATTTTTTTGTATGTTTAAGTTTTATAATAATCATCATCATCATGTGCCATCTTCCTCAGATAGGTTGCAGCTTACAATCCTCCACTTCTGTCTGTTCTGTGCTTTTCTCACCAGGTCGTCATATTTTGCTATCTTAGTCCACTCTTTAATATTTGTTATCCACTCTATTCTTGGTCTTCTCCTGTATCTTTTCCCTTCTATTTGCCCCTCCAGTAGGACTCGCTGGATGTTATTTCGTCTCATCATATGGTCAAAATATGCTACTTTTCTCTTCTTGATGGTTGGTACAACTTATCTTTTCACACTCACCATACTGGAACTTCTTCATTTGTTACCTTGTCTATCCAGGTTAAGTTTTATAATAATATGTAACATTAACTAGTTAGAACGATAAAATCCCTGTAACCCGAGCGCTTTCGAAAGGTCTACTTTTCTTCTTCAAGGGTAAATTGGGAATCTTGTTAGAGGTTTGATAAGTGTGTGCTTTGGCTTAAATGTCACACAGCAATAATTTTGTCACATTGAAAATAGACGAATTAGTGACCAAAAATATCTGACAAATTATGAATTAAAAATTTAAACAGTAAGATTAGTTTGAACACTATTACTGCTGTTTTATATTCTATACATCCTCTGTTCAGGATTTGATCTTACAAAGCAGTGTTCATTAACAAGCACTGACCTTCTGTAAATGGCCGATTCTTAATTATATTTACTTCAAAAATAAAAAAATAAATACTCCCTTGCATTTCCGGTCTAGAATTTTCAAGCAACTATAATTTTCTAGTCATTGCCTAATCCTTTTATATATTCCGCATTTTAAGCTGTCACAAGCAGTGGCATAACTATAATTTCTTTCGGATGAAACTTTAACGATACAAGTCCTTTCTTAAATAAAACTAGTTTATTCTTTTTCAATACAACTTTGCAATACACTTAATTTTCACAATCAGTTTTCTTAAACAGACGCTATAATTCACAACCAACGATTTACGCACTTTATTTACTACCGCGCTTGACTCAGTTGTTCGTCTCTGTCTGTCTGCAATTATTTATCTATATGCCGTCACTTCATTTGCAGGCTTATATATATAAAAAAAATAGAGGGCGCGTAGAGAAGACTAGAGTTGCCACGAACAGACATGATCATTCTAGAATCTCATGACGTGTTACTAGAGTCACGTGACTTCCGCTGTCGTAACAATATCATTAACTTAAAATATTGTTCTTTCAGATGTTCTTTGAATAATATTGACACTTATCATAAAACATAAGTGGGACAGCGGTACATTTTCGGAGTTACAATTCTTAAATCAGGGTTTCGATTCCCCTCGGTGAACACATCAGATAGCCCGATGTGGCTTTGCTCTAAGAACACACACACAAAAAATTAAAATTAGCCACAGGAACCAATGAACTTTGTAAATAACGTAAAAGCAGCTTCAAGTGGGTAATTAAAAATTAATGTAGCGTTTATATTTAAACTTAAAAATGTCTAAAAATATCATCGCGTGATCCGATATTAATAAATTAATTTTCAGTTTCTCGTTTTAAAGCTTTTTCTTGTGTGTGTACGCCTATGTTATAAAACTAACTTCAGTATGGTTCTTAATTTCTATTGGTTAATAGAAATAGGGTCAGTGATACCGACAGTTATAGTCATTTGAGTTATTGTGATATACTGAGTTTTAAAAAAAGTCCAATAGGGTAATTTGTGTTTATGTCAGAACGGTCAGAGGTTACGAATATTTGATATATTTCTACTGGAAACACACTTGTATTTTTATAAAACATGGACAAGTTGAAAAGAGCTTTAAGTGGAGATGACGGTGACGAAGAGCAAGGCATCGTAACACAGGTTTTTTCGTTTTAATCCAAGTTCTATTCTAAGTTTAACGTAACAACGCTCTGTTTTTTGTGTAACACTAGAAGTAACACTAGTGTTAGCATTACACGCTAAACACAACTTTTTAAACTTAAGTAAAAGTAACAAGTCCTTAGATTGTACATATTAATATTATATGTATATATGTTAAACTTAAAGATTTCATTTTCACATACCTAAATTAATCTTTTACTTTTAGGTTGCTATGGTATATGGTGAAGTAAAATAATTCTGTAGATTGTAAATTGTTTTCTCAGACTTAAGCCACAGGGAAAACTAATCGCTTAAAATTTACTTTTCGAAATTTTTGTTAAGTATGTCTAAGAATTATTCTTTCACAGCCTTAACACAATGTTATTTATGGGGTTTTGTTTCAGTCACCAGTAAAGTAATCAAAAGTAACTTAGTTGTGTGAATAATGTCAAACTCCATAAATATTATATACTCATAACCGTTATAAGAGGCCTAACTGTATTTCTTTGGTTTGTTGACCCAAGCTGTGCTGATGAGTTTTGAATAGGCAAAACTGCCATTCACAGCAAAGGGTATGGCCAATCAAGAAGAGCATTACTGGCCATTAGGCCTCTATATCACAGATTCTCTTTTCAATTTTGCCTTTGGTGAGAAAGAAATCTGTAACATATATATATATATATATATATATATATATATATATGTGTGTGTTATT